GGATTGGGAGGAGGATGTGGTCGGAAGAGATATTGGCAAACTACCGCGTCGTAAAATTAGTTTGAGGGAAAGAGGGATGGATTAGGTCTGATCAATGCGGACAGGGATATGGTGACGGACGGGCGGTCTCCGGGGACGGGTAGCCCAGGCTACCAAGTAATAAGAAAATGCATTTTGGAGGTGTGCGCGCGGTGGTTTTTAGACATTCATTAGAAGTACAAAGCATATAGTTCATCCCATGGGCTTTCTTCCTTGTCTCCAGACCACCTGCTCTTTCACTGTTCAAAGTATATTTCTTCACATGTTAAACCTCTTGTACTCTTTTATCTTTAACAAAAGTCATGTCTTATTTTTGTACCATTCAAAATACAGTTTTAGTTTTGTTAAAATCAGATGGCAGGGATTTTGCACCTGGCGTTCGATAAAAGACTTCTACACCTAAAAACAATTTTCTGCCCCGTTGAAACTTAGTCGAGTCAGTCGACCCTGTAGATGTAGGTCGTTTTGCAGGCGAGAAGGGCACCAACCTTTGGCCAAGAGGCGACAAGCCATTTCTCATCCAGATAAACCCGGCACAGCGCCATCAAACTGGGGATTAAGAAAGTACTTTGGGCGCGGCACGGAGCCAGGAGATAGCTTCAGTGCCATCTCTAAGTGCTAAGACGTTGAACGGAGAATGGAAGCTTTTTATGTTTACCGAAGGAAAACATATTGTTTTTGCTACGTTTCCTCTTCTTCCGTTGCAAACACTGACCTCTGACCTGGCCAATGACCTGATTTGTTTACGTCTCTCACCATGGTAACTGGTGTTGGGTTACATAATGTTGCAATTTTATAGTAGGAGGGATTTTTACTCCTGTCTGACCATATATGTGAATGTATTTGAGTAAGAATTAACAGAGCAGACCATATGCGAATGTATGCATTATGCATTCGCTTTGCAAATGTTACCTTTCTAGTTGAAAACTCCTTTTACAGGACATCCTCAGTCGACTTGAGGAACGGCGCGCTGCCGGGTGTGTTTAGTTGCCAACATGATGATTGCAAATTTCCACTGCGTGCTACAGTTTGACCTGGTCAACCTTAATTTTCCCCTTTGGGAGTCATTATTGCCACAGCCACAGGCTCGCGATGCTGGAATTGATGGAAACTGTATGAATGCCAATATTACCACCTCACCGGGGTCACTCAACATCCATCATCTCATGCCGCATCTTCAACATCAGGAGTGAAAACGAAAGACGTTCCTGAAAATCTATACTTTTCATTGTCAGGATCAGTGAAAATCTATGGTATTGTACGATTCTTGACTTAACTTTGGCATTCGGAGGTACGAAAATGGGCCAGTATTGTCATGAAAGTTTTTACTTTCGTCTATTAACGTTTGCGTCCAATTTGCTAAATCTCGGGAGGATGTCATTAGTATGGATAGTAATCCAGCTATCTTCCCTTAAACCATTAAATTACAGTGGTTTAGACCACAGTTCCGAACTGTAAATTTGTGAGCTCCATATACCCCTTGTGTAATTACCAATTCCACAAATGGAAAGCACAATTGCACAAGGGGTATACGGGGCTCACACAGATTTGCCTGAAATGTGAGTAAAACAGTAAAATACACATACACAAAATGTAACAAAAATGAGGCATGAAAAATGAACCTCTCTACTCAGGAAAAGTAAGCCATGTTCCCTTATACAGCGCTTTACTTTCAAAACGCCCGTCCAAATAAATGACCGAGAGTAGCGTCTAGAAAAGTACAGTCTGACCCTAATTACCTTCCCCGGAGGAAGTCCATGAATACTGCATGGCTTCTAAATGACTTGTGAACTGATAGCGATCATATTTGTCCTCATAACAATGCGCTAAGTGGTAAAACAATTTCGTTACATAATTGTACGCACGGCTAGCAATAAAGAACCAACGTGCATAACTCCCTCGGGGTAACGTACTTCGAAGTTGACAGAAAGGTCTGAGAGTTCTTTTAGCTATTTGCCGGGCCAAGTGCATATAACGTTACTTAAGGTTACCCCGCGGCAATTTTTGGAAGCGTAGGTACATTTGCATTAAGAAAGCTGAAACTGCGTAGCTGTAGTCCAGGAGAAGCTGACCTGTGAGATAAAGTGAGGGGTTGTTTAAAACGCTCTTCGCCAGAAGATAGTATCGCCGCGCTCATCCGGAACCATGCATGTTTCATGGCTGAGGTACTTGGGACTTAATGGAGCAATCATGCTCAGAGAAATTTAGAACAGTCGTTCGTTGCAATATGTAGTGGTCTGAGGTAAAATGGTGGAGGCAAGCCGCCAGCGGACAAGGTACGGGCCATCAGCTGATATCATTTGATTCACCAAGAGGTCCCGAGTTCGAATCCGGCCATCTTGAGCCCTTGGGAAAGGCACTTTACACGAATTCCCTCACTGAGGTGAAAATGAGTATGTCTGTTATTGTCCGTTAATGACTTTGTGTTCTTTGTTGGTGGCAGCATAAAATAAGTTGAAAACTTGAGTGTGCCGTCGCCATGTTATGTGATAATCGTTGGAATGAAAAAAATCATTTGATGAAATCTTAAGGGGAAGAGCATGGCGGTCTCTAGATCTTGGATAAACTGCCAGGACGGGCCATTTTGGCACAGAGACATGTCATTAATCAGTTAAGCATCCAGAGAACTGGAAAAAGAATACATTGTCAATGGAGTGGGGAAACTGTGACAAGGTGCGACTTCTTCCAGGAGGATTTACCAATGCCGGCATCAACGTAGCACTACTGCCACTAGTACCCGTTGGTCAATAAAGCATCCACACACCTGCGCATTGTTGTCGGTACACTCTATTGTTAACGACCAACCCATTGCCATTTTATATGTGTGACTGCTACTTTGAAATATTTTATATGTTATGTTGGTGTCTCAACGGATACGGCTATGCATGACCAGTACGAAGATGAATTAAAAACGTCCGGTCATTTCACATCACAAACATCTACGTAATGGGAAAAGGAATCTGTTGATTCCGGATGCCGCCGATTCTTCATGAAAGGCCACCCGGATGAGTTCGTGTCTAATGAATTTTGCATCGGGCACGTAGAAACCATCAAGTGGCCTGTTGATGATTACATTTTGCCGCTTTCAGTGCCCATTACTTCACAGCTTCAGTCCGCCCAACACAATTCCCCCATGACAGATCATAATGCACATGTTCACTGATTAAATCTGTTAGCTAGCCAATGATCACGTCTGAGACTTATACCAACAGAAGCCATGCCCAGCGGGCTTAATGCCCCCTTAGGACATTTGTAAGGTCAAGGTTTCATTTAAAGTGGAAATATTATCCGATGTTCTGTTCGAATTGTACCTTACTAGGGCAATTGATGGGATAGAGACCATGATAGCAGCGGTAGCTTTTCGTTATGAAAGATATAAAATCCCCTGAAGTACCACTTAGTCTAACTCGGGCACGCAAGGTAGAGATCTCATTATTCTGATGTACAATATACATCGGAGCTAGATTCTTTTAAAAGCACCACGCATGGTCACCGCTCCATTTATAACCCGATGGCCTCATTTCTAAGGCTGCAAATCTCGCTTAATGATCCTTGCTTGATGTTTTAAATGGAATTACTTGACAATGACATCGTTTGTAATGTCGAGTAGTGCCACTTGTGTCTTCCCAGTTCTCGATATTAATATTCTACGTCCCTCCCCGGTTAACCTGTCTGCCACTGATTTGTAGTTTTGTACACATGCCCTCCCGCGTACATTCGTGTCTATATTAGATATCCTACTACCTGATGGTGCATGGCCATGGCTGTTTTAGAGGCCTGAACTTTGCACAAACGAAGTGCCCTTTACCGGGAAAGTTTGCCGCTGCTCAGCCCTGATTGAGAACCCTATTTATTAGTCGCCCTTGTTAGGACTTGTCTTCAGGGATCAAATATGGAGTAGATAAACTGTGTGTAGCCCATGGTGGTGCCCTTAAGCGGGACCTTCACAGCCAGAGAAATGTTCACCTTCACCCTGACAGACTTAATAAGAGCCAGGGGACGTCGGCTGCGTTACTTTTTCATCGTCAGTCTGCCACAGTCTGATAACTCTACAATCAAAATGTATGTTTCTATTGATTTTCTAGAACTTTATACATACGTTTGAAGTCATTTAGCCTTATTCATTTTCACCGTGTTGCATGCATTTATAGATCATGCTGTTTATGTGTAGCATGTATTATACGATACAGTGATAAAAAGTAACGAAGCTAGCGATGCCAAACCCTTATAAATGACCAGTCGTTCCATGAAAACAGTAATTCCTCCCCTGGCTGGTACTGAAGAATAGTGTTTTGTGCAGCAGGTATTAATAATCATAATCCATAAACAGATGTGCATGTGCTGTTTTAGCGCCAGGATGTTGTCTGTTGTCTGTGATTATTGTGTTCTATGATTTTGTGTAATTACACGAACACGTAAACACACTCAGGCCACAGCAAGTAATATCTATGGATGACATCATCGCGCGCAGTGATTTTCACCTGCAGCTGGTTTTGCACAGAAAAAAAAAAAGAATTTTTTGCCCTATGACGGTGGTCAACATACCGAAAATGGGCAAATATGTTGTAAATGCCTATCGGTTCAGAGACCATCACGGATCCAGCAAACTTTAGGCACATCAGTTCGCGTTTGATCGCAAATGTTGACACTGACATGTTCCATTCTTCTTCTTCTTCTTGAGTACTCTCTAACCACCCCTACTGGGGTATCACTGAGAGGGGGACATCCATCTACAAGGACAGTTAATACTGTTGAATACACGAATAAAGACCTGCTGGTTGTGTTGTCATGTTTTGTCGCCTAAATTCTAGATCAACAAGGTTCATGATCTCAAAAGTTGAAAATGTAGGAATCTTGTTTTCGCCCTATCGATTTACATTTGGAGTCTACGGAGGATGTCATCCATAAAATTTCCTTGCTGTGGCCTAATGGAGAGCTAATGTGAGCGGCATGAGACTCACCGCTTCCCCGCTGTCCGCGGATGCTCCAAGTCACCAGACACAGCAGGAAACCTGCGGAGAGAAACAGACGTGTTACTCATAAACAGCTTTCTCATTTTAGTGCAAATACATTTTTATCAGTGAAATGAATTTGCCAGCAGGTGTTCTTAAAGTATTTTCGAGTGGGTAGATGGTAATGATTCTCATCAAACCAGACTTAAGTTTGAAAAACTGCCATATTGAAGAAATGACATCCGCAATCTTTCTCCAGGATTAAAGGCATCCAACGCAATTTCAGAGCGGCAAAACTGGAAATATCCTGAATAAGGCAATCTGTATGATCTTGACACATACTGCCTCACATTAGCACATTTGCGTCAGTACTGCGTCATATCTTGGGTGTTTAAACAGCATAGAAGCAAGCCCCATGGCGACCCTTTATTTTCTGGGTGGTAAGCCAAAAAAGTATCCTTTTTCCGTCACACTTTCGGTATTTTCACTCCATGAATGTCAATATACAGTTTGGAATAGTGTTGTTTCAACTTGCTATGTAGGTAAGTGACTTGAATACTGACTTGCCCTGGAAACTGCATTGGGCACCTTTAACGTATTCGACAACTTAAGTCGTAAAACATTTTTACGACGCAGCCACTCTATGACTGCGGCATTCCAAATGCTTAAAGACGCCAGTGCGCAGCAAATTAAGGCCAGTTGTACGCGCAGATGTAGATGATAATCTCGGCGTAATTGCATGACCTCCCAAGCACGCCGAGAGACCCTTGCCGGCACTCTGTATGTTAAATAACGCACTCTCTGATTGTAGATGCATGGCTGTTAACACGGTCAACAAGGTCACTGCCTCCGTGGGCAACATTTATGTAACGTTCTCAAGCAAAAAGTTTTCAAGTATAAAGACTTTCTTGCTGAATAGGCAATCACTATCTACTTCTATTTGAGGTACTGTGTATGGCGCTGTTTCGCTGGAACATGCAGAGATGAAGCTTTGATGTACAACTAACCCCGGCACACAGAGGCCACGTCTAGGGCGGCTTGTTGCCAATGGAGGCTATCAGAATCCAGTCCGAAACCCAGCAAATCACATCTGCATGGGCCTTCGTGTCAATATGACTGTGTGATCTCTGTTTGTGGGAATGTTTGATGGTAAGTATGAAAAGTATGACGGCGGTGTCTCACAATCATCTCTACGTGGTTTCATCTCTACGTGGTACCTGACATCATTTTCAGAGATTGGTGCATGTATTGTTTATTGCTATGTGTCGTATTGTATTATAGTAAGATACAACGCTACAGACAATATACTTACTTCTGTTGCTTATTCACAACAGTAGCACCTTCCCCTTACGTTTACAAGGAAATAGATAAATATCTTTGAAAACTTGACCTTCCTAAGTTCTGACCTACATTATGTGCTTTATTTATCCTGTCCTGACGGGTGTTATCGACAGTGTGTACAGGCCAACCATCAGTCACTCTTCATGAGTTATTGAGGACACGTCTGCAACATGTGTGAGCGATTCTATCGGACACGAGCGGCCAGAACATCTATCTTCCACCTGAAGTGTTACAGTTCTTATCACAATTAGATCTCTTCTAACGATTATCATACTGAACGGTTATTTGATGGAGGAGATCAGAGAGGTGGATAACGTTTTTCCCGCTTTGAGTTTCAATCTTAGAGACTACATGTTATAGAATAGTTAAACCTTTATTGTTACCACTGACATATATTCTGTACGTTATTTGCCGCATACATATATTCTGTACGTAGAATGACGTTATCCATACATGTATCTAACTTTTTTAGATCTAAGTTGTAGAAGACCATACAAAACTCCCTGTACTTTTTGTTGTGTCAAGAAAGAATTAATATATTACAGCAACAGAACATTAACGGACTTACATTCGCCTCACGTAAATAAGAAGCTAATAAGTTGTTCCAAAGTCTCTCGGCGAGCTGTTAACATTTACCAACGGCAGTACATCTCGCCAGGGACGCGTTGATCAGAATAAGGCGAGGAAAGGTACATCTGACAAGCTTGAAATTGGTGTCTGACGCTGAGCCGCGGGAATCGTTTTCGTAACGTACCAATCTGACCACCTATTCTGCCGCCATCTTGATATAAATCTGATGACCTTCCCCACGGCTAACGCGTGTTGACAAGGTCACCGACTCCAATTCCATCGTTTCTAAACACAGTCTGTCATAATCAGATGCAATACGTTCCACACACTTTCCTGCTGCCACGAGTGATAAATCACATGGGAGTTTCAGCAACTAGAGATCATCTCATCCATATGGCATACGTTTTCCTTTATATCATTTGCTAATTGCCAGTGTATCTATGTACATGTTATTTCCCTGTGTGCCATGTAGTGTTGTGTAAATGTAAGACCACATGAAGAATAGCAACTCTGTATGCTAAAAGTGCATCCAAATAAACTCAAACTCAACTCTGAACTGCTTTCAAAAATCTTATTCGTTTCACTTTTCGGATAGCTTGACTGCTCAGTGTAGACTTGCTTGATTATGGAGTTACACATATTTATGTTGTGATTATGTAACTTGTGATTATACCATTACAGCCAGATACACATAAATAGCCCCAGATGCCCTTGCTGCGATCATACAATCTCATCACGTCCCTGTTTATATTCCGGTTCGCTCGGACCCGAATATGAAATTCATAACTGTTCCCCAAATACGTTCCGGATGAATACCGACTGTACTGCACAATAGATTTATTTGACCCCTGCCGCTTTGAGCGCTGACCTCTCCGAAAAGTCGCCTCCCTTTCCCCGATGTGGATAAACTAATTGATGAGTTCCCTTCGGGTTAAATTCAAACAAAAAGGAGAGGATTTCGCTGCCAGGGCGATACGCGTACGGCACCCATCATTGGCTCATTGCCTCATGAACACCGCCCGGAGGTAAACATGATATAATCTCTCGTAATCTCCAAGTACTCGTATCTTCAATTCAATGTGCTGACCCTACGGCGTATCTCGTACCATCGCTTATGTTTAATGTTATAAAATGATAACCTAGATTTGCCACGTTTTACAAACATACGGAGATAATTTGGCAGACTTATTTATTTCATTTTATTTCATCTTATTTTGTAGCGGATTGGGCAAAAGTATACATCCTTATCGAGGCACTCTCCTCTCCACACAGACAGATAAAATTAACATCAACGAAACAAAAACAAGGTGCAAATAACAGTAAAGAGAAAACGCCTTTACGGCTTGTTGGTATTAGAAAGGGGATTAAATCGCCTGTTATTTCACCCATATGGCACTACTGCCGCGGAGGCGACCCAGTAAAGCCCCGATCAGCGTCCTGCCTCCCCGTCCCCGAAGACCTACTCATCCGGCTAATTGGTTTGATTCACATCGAGACCACCCCTATGCATCTCCCTGTAAACACTCACTGAGCCCTACAGACCTCCGCCACTGCGCGCTGTCTCATGTTTCTTTCACGACGTCGTCGTTTTTCTTATCCCGTCTTAAGACAGGACACTTCCGCCCGCTGAGGATCTTATCAGCTAATGCCCATCCTGTTCCGCCTTCAATTATTCACACCACGCTAATGATAAATGAAGATTGATGACATCCACGCACACGACAGGCGTCATGTATTCAACTCATTATAATACTGTACTTTTCTCCGACACCAAAAATCAATGAACTTGACAAGGCGTAATATCATTTTGATATACGTGCTCTTATTACAACTTAATATGTAGGGAAGGGAGTAATAAAATCACAAATTACAGCTATCTATAAAATCTGGCTAGCTCATCCTGTCAATCTAGATGTACTTGTAAAACAATCAATAAAACGTTACAAGGAGGACAATTCATAAATTCCATAAACTTTTCTTCACTCCATTACTTCTCTACTATTTAAAGATATTGAAACACATAGTGATAAAATCAACGTATGAATATTATCATATAAAGTATCATGTACTCGTTAAAACAAATACTTGTCATCACTGCTTCCTTCTATTAGTGAACGTGCTTGTCACATTACATATAAACGACTTATTAATTCAGTTTTAAGCACCTTATCACCAGCTTCATCCCACGTAATATATTATGACCTTCTCTCTGAAGGCAATTAAATCAGGATGAGTTGACATTGAAATCCCACCAGAGCGTGTCGTTATTATACTTTTGATCAACAATCTGTCTTTATGCTCTCACATGCCGTTTCCATGTGAACGCGTGTTTTATTTGTTTGTATTATTTGCTTATTCATTAGTGTTACAATATTACACTATTCTTCCTGGAGTCCGCTACAATACAATACAGTCAAATGAAATAAAATAAAATAAAAGATAAAATAAAATAGAATTTAAAAAACCTTTACAATTAATTAGTAGTAAACAAAAAGACGAACAAAATCAGATGAAATAAACTTAGAAGTGAGCTGGAAAGGTCAGAGGTATCCAAAAGTAATAATAACTGATAAAATATGAATAACTTAAATGACCTGAGCATAAATATATGTACAGATGAGATACAAGCAAAAATAATCATAATAACCAAACATAAATATAATAACTTGAATAAATTGATGATCGTCAGAACAGCCTGCCAGTCCAACGACAGACGACGGCCCGAGCTCCATGATGTAATCACCCATTCCCGGGCGAGGGTGTCAGTCATCAGTAACAAATAGTCACCAGCCCCGTCACCGAGCCACATCCACTACACATACACCCTCCCTACCGGCTACATAACTCCCTGTCAAAGGCTATTAAATCCTCCAGCAGAAAATTAAACTTAGAAGAATGGGACATTTGTATGGGGGACGCATCAATTCCCGGGTTATGATACTAGTCTACGCAATGTGCGACGTAACAGGCCGTGTTCGGTACAGACGAGAAAGAAAGTCGCCTGAATCAGTTCATTCAATTCATTTGGATGGTTATGGATTATTAGCTCCATTTAAATGATATGGATTTTTTTGTTACGTATAGAGTTGGTGTGGATATTTTGCATAAAGATGGTCCTACTTACAACTCCTTACTATCGCCACTCCTTGGTTCATCCCTTGCCGAGCCCGCTGAGGTGCGGAGACGGTTACCGATGCGTCCTTCCCAAACCCCTGCCCCCGGTCCGCTCCCTCCCCGGCGATGTTACCGTCCGGCCGTACGTCGCGTGAATTAATGGTGACGTATGTAGCCTCGGGGGGTGCTGTCCTCCTGCGAGTCAATCTACCGGTGCGCGGGTAGCCTGTTCTCCTTCGCCGCGGTAAAATGTTGCTCTGCCGCCTCCCGCCACGGGTGTGTTCACACACCAACCAATCCACTCGGAGAGGAGGTGACGCCACCTGCTAGCTTCATTTACAGGCAGGTCGTTGTAAATCAGACGGGAACACATAAAGGTAATAGACTAGCAGCGCCGCAGAATGCAGCATCCGTATGTTTGCCTTATCCGCAACTTCCACGGTTGTGCAATATTTTCACTTGGCCCGCATACCGCCTTTATCTTCAAACAAGTATTCCTTCGCGGGTGAACAGACCAACTCCAAGGTTAAGACGAAAGAGGCCCGTCTATGGTAGCGGCTACCCATCAGCAGCCTAGATCCTCGGGAAGGTCTATAAACAGCCTGTCTAAATCAGGAGTAGCGCCAGACCAAATATCCTCCTCTACGCCAGAGCGTGGAGACTGGCCAATTTTAGCACCGTTGGATTTACATGAGTACCGTGTCGTGCATTTTCTTGAACGCAAACCCATGTACCAAGTAACCTTGGGGCTGCCGGGTAATTGTTTTGGCACTGGATGAGGCTCGAGCCTTACGTTATGGTGATATTCACGAACTTTGTGGTGATCGTTTGGAGCAGGAGGAAATAATTGCCGTCTGAGAAGCCTGGGGATAAGTGGAGACAAGCGGTCCTGTGATGTCTTGCAGACGAGAGATTACCGCGGAATATTAGAAGCTATTTTACGACGCCGTACGATCACCGAAGGCAACAAATTAGTCTTGCTTTGTTGCATCATTATCGTGACAATCGGGCTGCTAACGCGGATACGAGCTTCCATGAATCAGCGCCAAAACGAGCCTGCCGACAATCGCAGTGTTTCCTGTACCCGCGGAGCTCGCCAGGTTTAACAACCCGCAGACGTACTTGGTGTTGCAGACTTGTTGACTCCGCTGCGTCCCGGCTACGCCTAGATCCCACCGGTTGATTGATTTCTCATTTGCTCCAATGGGGGTGTTTCCTCCTTTTTAATTTTCTCTCGTTGATAGTGAAACATCGTTCTCTCGCCTTGTCGGCTTCGGTTGAAATATCAGCGCTTTTGCGTCAGTAGAGACTACCCGAAACACGTTTTCATACCAAAACCTTCAGTAGATGAATAATTTGGAAACTACGATAAGAATTTCAGCATTTACTGGAGTAGCTAGTTACAGCGTCTTTTACCCTGCGCCCTTTTCATTACATCAGGAAATTACTTCTCCTTTTTCCATGCCGCCCTTATTGTAGCGTGTCCGGCCGCTGGTTAGATTTCTCCAGTCGTGATTCGAGGGCTTTGCGGCGATCACTGGTAACGTCCATGTCCGCGTCAAAGTTACAGTTCCCATTCCCTGCACGCAGACAGCCGCTGCTACTGTTAGGACTAGTCATTCACATGCCGAAATTGGAAGCCATTCATCCTCTCAGATATTCCTCGCTTCGTAATTTCCAAGAAGTAATGGATCAGCCAGAAAGACTGTCAGTAGCGGATTTTAAAGGGTCTTGTGGGATCCGTGAAGGGAAATAGTCTACGGTTGGTAAGGCGCTGTCCATGTTGATACTGAAACACGCAGCGAGTCTGATTTCTAACACAATATCATTTGAGATGGAATTTGAGCTCGCTCAGCTGAGCTGAGAGAACCGATCTGTGTGAAAATTACGACGTCGTGTCTGACAAATCGTTGAAGATGTGAGTGCATAAATCCTTCCCGCTTGCGGGAAAAGTCGACTGTCTTTTTTAATTACTTCAATTCTGCTCCCCGCGAGGCAACAACAAGAACAAACGTCTTGAACATTGTGTAGATTAAAATTTACAATGATGGGGTATCATCGAGCCTTGTGGGAGCAATGTGCCAGAGTTTAAGGGGCCTCCTAAGTATGATCCAAGCTCCCGAGTGCCTTTTACAGGTATTGTAATGGGTGACGTTCATACCGGAGGTACAGAGAAGTAATTACGCATGTTAGGTTGAATTGCACCCATAGAGACATAAGCACGTAAAAGCGTCCTCTGAAGTCCTCTTCTCAAATGAAGATGGAAATGGACGCGTCAAAGTACCTTAAGCCAAGCATCGTTTGGGGAAGCGGGACTTGAACATGCCTGGAAGAACGCCATTTGTGAAGTTCCGTCGTATAACATTCCCTGTGATGTTTCACAAGATATGATCCCGTTTGTAGTTATAGGAAACTTCAGATTCCCACAGGCGGAGCCGCTTATCGACCGTTCAGACGTTCTCCTCGAGAGTTTGGAAGAACACGGAACTCCGGGGACCAATTAAGTTTTCCCTTTCATTAATCACAATATTGTGAATCCTATGCACGAGTTCTGTTGGTTGTCAGACTCCTGATGATTTAAACCGCCTGTGACTTCCTATACAGCCTGTTTGATACCATTTGATAAAGTCCGTAATTCCAGTTAAGCGCTGGGACCAGTGGCCGGTCGATAGCAGCAGAGTCGTATTGCTCTTCCCGCTCGTTGACTTACTTTCCAGCCCGTGACTGCTCCCAACCTACTGCGACGTTCTTTCCTCTTCTTTTGTAACTTTGTCAAGCCTCTATCTCCCGGACACTACTGCCCATCTAGTCTTTTTGTGTGAACCGCTGTCTGCTCTGCGCATCTTTAACGGGTAAACTATCCAGAACCCTCTTCACTGGTGGAGACGTTTCATCCTCTTTAAGCGGTCGGAAGATCCATAATACATGCACGGGCGGCCTGAAAGGGGCCCCACTTACAAATTGACAACGTTATTGAGCTGGGCGTGACGCTCGGGATAAATAATGCATCTGGAGTTCGCACCCTTCTCCGGGTCCACATGATGTCAGAAACGACAGCATCACTGCTCAGACCGACAGCGGCGTTGTTCAGTACTACCTGGTGCCAGCCCGGCAGGAGATAGCCGCCATCCAATAGAATTAGTCCGGCAGCAGTAGTTTCAGCACCACGGACAGATCCTTACATCTGTGCTGCAGCATTACGGTAAAGCCTGGATCACGCCCGCCGCTCCACTCAGAATGTTACGCCAAGCTACATTCCTTCTTTCCCATTAAGCAATCGTTCTTATTACCTCTTCCCAATACTCCGCAAGTGCTTTTGAACTTGTCAGGATCCCACACTAGTCCGCCTAAGATGGTGTAATCTCTGACCTTTCGCCGGCGCTGCGAGTCCGGTAAGTACAATGAGCGCGCGGTGATGTTCCCTTAGCTCCGCTCGCGAGTCCGATATGGAGTTCTCCGGGCTGCGGGTTGATGAGTGACGGCTCGCATTCCGCCCGCGCAGGCCACGGTTCGCATGTCTGCAATTCCGCTTCTGCCAATCGATAAGTGCTACATCAATGGAACCCGGGCCGAACCAGGGCGAATGTCAGGTCAGCGTCACGGAAAGAAACGGTTTGCCTTATCACAGTCATAGGTTGTTGACCTTTTCTTAAAGCACTGTCTAAACCACTGAGAGGTGGTAAAGAAATACAACAGTATATTATAAAGGATACCGAGCTATACAGCATACAATAAACTTTGACAGATAACTTTATCCTTGAAAAAGTGAGAAAACAAATGTGAAATTGGTGTCTCATACGTAAACATTCCGATCCGGTGAATCAGGCCCACCCCCTGTCTTAAGTGCTACGGAAAATGTCTTACGTGTATCTGGGAAATCTCGTCCCCACACATATCATGATCACCTGTCTGTCTGCAATGTTGCGTTCTAGATTGATAGGAATACTTATAGAGATTTCCGCGAATATTTGCAACGCAAGGAGAAGATCTTCCCCACTAATGTGCAGATATACATCACCGGAATAACCCACAGGGCACTTCTGACAAAAGTGCCGTGAACAGAGAGCTTGACAATTGATAGCCTGTTGAAAAACATAATCCTAAACATGCGATGTTCTGTTCACAACTCGACAATGGGCGATCGACGTCCGGTAATTTCAGAGTATAGCTGTGTGAACTGAACGTTTCACTTAACATATCGTTTGTTTCCTACCATGTAACTCTTTGTCCTCGCCTCTAACCTTCATGCATGGTTTCCCAATATAGGTTCTCCGCTGTTCCATCCATTCTCACTAACCGCCCACTCCGATTGAATCCTTATTCATTCCCGTTAATTCGATTTTCCTAGCAGGCATACAATAGCTTGCAACCCCCTGTGCCCATTTCAACAACACCGTGGATGGTGATGATACATGAAACTTAATAGATACAGATATCCATGTGTCTCTTGTTCTCTCTTGGCTGCTCTTTCCAGTGATCTGTTGCATAGGTGTGTGTCTGTGTGTAAATACATCAACCATCAATCACGATTCCTTTATTCTATCTCTATATATATGTCGTCCCTCCTTGTAGTTGATAACACAATTCATTACCTGCTCAGTTTTATTACTCTCATTTCTGTGAAGGTTTATCCTTCATCGCCATCGGTGGTCGCGTTATGCGTCTTCTGAACATTTGTTACAGGACTCCCTGCCAGGACTCGGCAATACGAGACGTTCTGAACAGATGTCTCAGTTTTCAGCCATACAGAGCATGTTTGGTAGAATTACACCAGTGATATTAGAGCGACCTGTTTTCTTTTACAAATTACACAGCCCAAGTCGATATAATCAATGTTGTTACATATTGGTTCTAGATCTGCCTATCTGAGATTAACGCGGTCTGGTAGCCTAGAGGCATATACAGACACAATGTAAAACACTGATGTGTGTTGTTTAACACTGCATTGGAACAACACACTTCATACCATTCACTAAAACATGCCAAAAGAAAGATATGTTTAAGAGACCCGTTGGGTCAGTGTCAAGAGTTATCCAGGCACAATGAGAGGAATTATCGATATTGTATGCGATATGTGGAATTGCCCTGGCGTTTCTTTTTGACAGATGTAGGCCAGTGGAATAACCCAGGGTTCCAGATATCCCTTCGCGATGATTTAATGGCGCCAAAACTGCTTAACGTGGCATACTTATACAGCTTGTAACACTGCCAGAAGCTGAAACAATATGGCCTTTATGAAGGGTGCAATAGTGTATTGATTTTTGTTGGTCTCAGTAGGATTGCCGACTAATAAGAGAGTGTTTAGGAAGCAGACGCAAACGTGTACCGGCTGTTCCGCCGTCTGCCAATACATCAGCTATCGATCCGGGAACTAACGGGGAGAACGGTTTATAGCAGCGGTGATGGGTGGAACCTATAAAGGAAGTATTCCTCTTACAGTCCCAGGGAATCTGACACTGGCGAGACTTGCACGTTGTGGGGATCTATTCTGAAACTTCGCTCTCCTAACACGTTTTAACAATGAGTCACCATCGATCGATTGGTAGTCACTGTTGGCAAACTTTCAGATTTGGTGCGGAACATTTCGACCTGCTTGTCCTTTTGATGAGACTTAAAGCTAGTTTTTGGCATCATATATTTTGTCTGAAAGTAACAACACAGACCTTCTGAACCGCCTATTTTTGAACGTTAGTAGGCGCATAAACGACATCGTAACTTTCTAACAGTACTTTGCCTTACGGACTCTGCAAGGACAATCCCAATTCCTGTAGCTCAGTTCTGTCTTAGCAACAGTAAGGAACTACACCTAATGAAAAATTATTACACAAACTCCCTGAAATAATACTGTCAGATTAGGTAATAACGTGAAGAAATATAGGCCAATCCCGTGTCTTTTCTTCAGCAACTTCCGTGTGTATCAGTCATGCGTCACCTGTGCCCTCCGGCCTGGCACACGGCATTCACCAACATCACCCAGACTATCGACCGCATCTTCATAAAACTGTCACGTCTCTGTAATGAGTTGGACGGTAGCCACAGACAGGTGAACACGGTGTCACTCATAATTCATGTTAATACGTGCTTTATCTATCATAAACGCATCAATTTCAGCATTAGTCTTATTCAGGGGAACGATTTAGAACTTGGGTGGTCGCCGGTTCAGCGTTAATTGATAGGATTTTGACTATATTGAGGACGACGTGTCTTTTAAACTTGGCATAGATCCCCTGAACGGGCTTGGAGGAAATTGAATAACCGCGACGGCTCAAGACAGCGCACTGCAGTCAGTAATAGTAGTGTTCAACCTCCTCACTATTCATAGACTTAAAAGCCAAGAGAATCTTCGACACTTTGTCATTACTTTTACAACAAGGAGAAAACATTATCAACCAAGAAGCTGATCACATTGCCAGTTTAAGTTCTAACTCGACAAAGTCCTGTCTTTACCTGTTAGTTATTACTAGTACAGAACAATTGTCTAAAGAAGTGTCTGACCCTGCCACTGTTGTCTCTGCTTACAATATCGTCACGTCTGCAACACTAACAACCACCACCTATCATGCTGTATGAACGGTCATGACTAACCCTTCAAATCCAACAGTAGAAACCCTTCCTGACAAACTGTATCTGAGAGAAGAATTGCCCGCTGTCATTATCGACCAGCGGCGGCGAGGACGGAATATTCATCACGGTTTAAAAGCTACGGCCATAGCATGTAAGTTTCATGGATGACGTCCTCCGCAGGCTAATGCGATAGGGCGAAAAAAGGCGGGCCAAAAACAAGATTCCTACATTTTCAAATTTTGACATCATAAACCATGTTAAACAAGAAATGATACACATATTGTGCTAAGTTTACCGCCAACTATTACAACATCAATTTGTGACTGAAGCAACAATAAGTTTTCAAACATTGTACAAATGGTTTTGATTCAATGGGGAACATCACATATACACAGCCAGCATAA